CAGTTAGTGGGAGGATCAGCTAGGGGGAGGACCAGTTAGTGGGAGGATCAGCTAGGGGGAGGACCAGTTAGTGGGAGGATCAGCTAAGGGGAGGACCAGCTGCTGTAGAAACTGACTGTTTCTCAGAATAAAATACCAGATGTATCGATAGATGCCCCAGGCGACCCTCAGATCAGGCCTTTCTGTCAAGAACCCTAGCACTCCAGATGCCTACATGCCTAGACAGACAGGATAACTGTGTGAGAAAGACAACTGGAAAACAAAGAAACAGAAAGTCTGTGTTTGTGAAGTGGAGTGATGTTACCTGTGCTTGTTTCCTTCTTAAAGTTCCTGTTTTCTTTTAAAAACATAGGAATTTAACTTTAAGCAAGCCAACTTGCATTAGGAAATGAAACACATTTTAGTTCACACCTGTGACTGAAATCATTGACTATATATAAAAGTCTTCTATAGGAACTGACCAGAACATACACTAGGGAAGCCGAATAGAATGAGATCTCATGGTACAAACAGAAGTCCTCCCACTAGAGAGACACTAAATTAACCTCAAATTTTCAATAGGCAGTTATAGTCTTTGTTTAGGGCATGCTGTGTCCTTCTCACTGATTTCCAAAGAGCTATGACTCTGGATGTTTGTATCTACTTGGATGAAATGTCTCTGCTCCTTGCTTTCCTTATGCACACGTTCTGTTCGCTTTCACAGCCACAGTGCTCACGGTGGAATATATTAGCTTAACTTCTGCCTCTTCTATGGTTCTTTGGACCAATGTATCCGTAACAGATCTACTCCCTGAGTTTTGTTTCTGTTTTCTCTGACATCTCTACACCAACACACTTATTCCGCTGTATTTAGTCTGCACTGCAGAATTTTACATATACCTACTGGTTACAAGGTTTTTCCCTAAACTTCTTTTGTGTTTTACTGTTATTAAAGTAGTACAGTTTGTATTCAACCATGTAGTAATATTTTAAGCCACTGAAGGAATAGTTTTACTTATTTAGACAACAGCAATTTCTACTACATTTTAGTAGGCTTAAAACTTAAAATGATAAAGACAATAACAGAACATTGATGGAGTATAATATGACCATTTATGAGAGGGTTAGCTCTTAATTTCCAATCAAGGAAACTTATGGTATCCAATAGCTGGAGGAATGTATGATTAAAGAGCCTGGGAACTGCTGTATAGTGTTACACAATTATAGCAGATGTAATTGTTGCATTGATTTGTCACAGTCTTACTGTAGTGGAAATTAAAAGCGGAATCTACATCATCCCCCTGGAAACCACAATGTAGACTCTATGAATCTGTACGATATCCTTAAAATAGTAATTAAGAAGTCAAATGTGTTCTTTTCATTGTTCATAACTTTGAATAAACTATTTTTCAAAACCACGTGTGACCACAAAACACTCCAGCGTTCTGAGTTCTGAAATGAAAATGAGTATACATCAGTTCGTCACTGTTGACAAATGAAGCGAGTGGCTGTTTGACAACTTAGGATATCAAACTAGACTTTCTAGAACATGGGAGGAATTGTGTCTGCCTTACCTTCATCCTCCCAGCGCCTCCTCCTCTCTCTCAAATAGGAGACTTTTGCACCAAACGAAACATACACCTCCATGTTTCTACATCAAAAATTAACCTAAAATTCCTGATTCCTTATTTCTTTTCTGTTTTGTTCTCTTTTAAAACTTATTTTCAGACCCGAGGAAACTTTTGAGAAAGATGAGGACCGGAGTTTGGATCCCAAGCTCCCATACAAAAGCCAAGAGTGGCTGTAAACCGCACTGCTAGGGAGGCTGGTCCTGGGCTGCTGCTGGCCTGCTAGCCTAGCCAAGCTGGTAAGCTCTGGGTTCTGAGACTGTCGCAAGCAGAGGAAGAGTCCTGATGTTGATCTCTGGTCTTCACACATGTGCACGTGTGCACACCTCACACACACACACACACACACAGATTTCCCACATTATTACAATCAGTGTTACTTGATTAGAATCTTTAATGTTGTACTGGCATTTTGTCTTACTTACATGTGCCGTGATGGCTCATAATAAATATTACTGGGAATAATCTCTCCGTTCAATTATATCACAAATGATAATTTTATCTGATATCTAAAAATTTAGTCATGTAGTTTTGTTTGTGTTCTTTAGGTCTTGATGTATCTGGAGGATTTTTGAAAATTTTTATTTAACATTTTTATACAATGTATTTTGATAGGTTTCTTTTCCCTCCCCCAATTCCTTTCAGATTTTCCCCACCTCCCTACACATCTGCTTTCTTTTGGGGGGTTCTCTCTTTCTCTAAAGGAAAAAAATATGAAAATCAAAACAGACACACTAAAAAAGAGAAGGTAGATAAGGCAAAAATCATCAAAACAAAACAAAAAGAACACACAATAATATGGTGTCCATTTTGTGTTGCTCAGTACCCCTGGGATGAAGCTGTGTAGTTCTTGTTCGTGCTCTCAGTCTCTGTGGGCTCATCCATTTCTCAGCACTGTTGTGTCTAGAAGACAGTTTCCTCGGAGTCACCCACTGCCTCTGCCTCTTATAGTCTTTCTGCTTCCTCTTCTGCATGGCTCCCTGAGTCTCGATGGGAGAGGTTTGATGAAGACATCCCATTTAGGGCTGAGTGCTCCAAACTCTCCCTCTCTCTGCACACTGTCCAGTTGTGGATCTCTTTGTTAATTTCCACCTACTATAAGAAGAACCTTCTCTAATGAGGGTTAAGTGACACTCTGCTCTATGTGTACAGCCATATGTCATTAAGAATCATTTTCTTGCTCTGTTCTTTTAACAGAAAAATAGATTTTCCCCTAGGTCTATGACCTCTCTAGTCCTAGGTTCTTAGCCACTTGAGGAGTGTCAGGTATGGGTTCCATCTCATGAAGTGTGCTTTAAATCCAATTTTTAAAAATGCTTGGTTATTCCATAACATTTGTGCCACTACTGCACAGATGTATCACGCAGGCAGGTAGATCACTGGGTGAAACTTGATACTTACTTTTCTCCTCCCGTAGACTGCAAAGTACCATTCAGAACTATGAGCACTTGTCAGTAGGGGTGAAGCTTTCAGCTGGGCACCAGCTCAATTTCTTATGTCCAGGGACATAAAGAAGCTATGTCTTCAGTAGTAGGGCCTTACCATCAGGTTTTGGAGAGTAACCAATTGCCTTAAGCAACAGTTTGTGATGTTGGGGGGCAGATTATCCTATGGGACCCCTTTAGCCAACAACTCACCAAGATTTAATCCTTTCTAGGCACAGAAGGTTTTTTTTTTGTGGTAGCAGAAGATGTCTTGTTGGGGCACTGTCTCCTACATTATGTGGTGACTCCATTTAAATTCCTTTCATATGTGTATCTAGTTTAGAAAGCGTCTGTGGAATTAGGTGTGTATCTGGCTTTTTTTAAAGTTCTTTTTTGTGAGTTGTCTGTCTCCATATTCTCTCCTTTCCCTGCCTTCTCATTCCCTTTCCCATTTGCTCTTCCTTCTCATTTTTTTTTTTTTTGGTAGAATAGGTTTATTGTACCAGAGTCTATGTAAAATGATTGCTTACAAAGTGATGATTTAAAATATTTCAACAAAATAAGATCCTTAAATGAAGTCAGACATTGTGGAAACAAGTTCCCACATAGCCAATATCTCAAACAGAAACAGAACACATAAAACAAAATTTCAACAAATATTAAAATCTAAGTTCATCACAAAATACAATCTCTTTATCTTGTTGCTTTAGACATAAGAATTGGGTTCTTCATGCAAGGCCTCAAGTAGAGGCATTTGGATACCAACCCAGCCACAAAACCTCTAACCTACAGTTTGTCATGCCTGCACCATGTTAGGACTGGAGGCTAGCATGATCATCATCAGAGAGGCCAGAAAGACTTCATCCAGCAACAGATGGGAGCAGATGCAGAGTCCCTCATCCAAAGATTTGGTAGAGCTTGGGGAGTTCTGGGGAGGAAGGGGAGGAAGGACTGGAAGAACCAGAGAGGTCAAGGAGACCACAAGAACATGGCCCACAGAATTAACTGACTGGGACTCAAGTGGGCTCACAGAGATCAGGGAGCCTGTATGGGTCTTACCTTGGTCCTTTGCATATATGTTATGGCTGTGTTGGTCAGTGTTCTTGTGAGATTCCTAACAGTGGGATCAGAGTCTGGCTCTGGCTCTGGCTCTTTTACCTATGTTGGGACCCTTTTCTTTCTAGTGGGTTGTCTTGTCCAGCCTTGATATGAGGGGAGGTGCCTGGACTTTAATGTGGTTTGTTATGCCTTATTAGGTTGATTTCCATGGAAGGTCTGCCCTTTTCTGAGGGGAGGTGAAGGGGAGGTAGATGTTTGGAAAGGGAGGTAGGGGGAAGGGACTATGGGGAAGGGAGAGAGAAGCAACTTCAGTTGGGATGTAATGGATGATGGATGGAAATGTAAAAGGAACCAAACATTTGGTTCCTATGTTAAATTGCTATTTTTACAGGAAAACATTTACAATTTTGAAATGGAATAGCTTTATTAGCTCTCAAAGTATGGATTTTTAAAATTGTGGTGAGGTATCAATTTCTTTTAATTCATATATTTTAGCCGTTGTCTATATTTGTGCTATAGACAGACTAGATTTAATGAAAATCAATACAGAAAGATTTAACAGTATCAACTAATTGATAAGCTTTTCATTGTCAT